AAAAACAATCATTGTTTATGAGTACATATTTTAAATTCTCAGTAAACATTAAATCTTGGCTCAATAGTCTCAAAATATACATATTTTCTTTTTAGAAATGTGAATCCTAGGTTCCTAATCATCCACAGTGTGTTTAGGGAATGTGATTCAAAGCAGTTTGCCTGTAACTGACCTATTTGAAATAACAGCAATGTGACTAAGCCAAGCTTGCCCTTCTACAACAGGTGAGAAACAGCAGGTATCCATAGAACTCCTGGGCGGTTATGTAAGTGTGCTGGTGCCTGTTCAGTGACATAATTAGAGCTTACAATTGCTTAGAACTCCAGCTGACAGAGCCTATCTCAGACTGTATTGATTAACGTTGTATATAATCCTAACAAGTTTGGTTGTCTGGATTCTCAGTTCACAGAAGGTTATAAACATCAAATCAGAAAGGAAACTGCTGGAGGCTGGCAAACTGACAGCAGCAAGAAATAATAGCTAACAGAAAAAGATTCAAAATATAATAAAAACAAATCAAAACTCAAATGGTTCTACAGTCTAGGCCTCTGGTGAAGAAATAAAATTAGGAAAATATCATTCTAGCACTCTCATTAAGAAAATATTAAATACAGAATTTCAGAAGGTCAAAATATTTTTAAGTTGGAATATTTGAAGGAGAACATCCTCACCTACCCAGAAATCCTAAATATTCGGAGTTGCGGCCTCTGGGAGTTCTTGTTACTTGGTGCTTCCCTGTACCTCAGTTTAACTATGAGGTATCCTGTTCTGGACAGGGGACCATATCAGATGTATGTTATATTAGATACAGATTGAGGAAGTTAGAAAATGCAGCCCTGAAATCCTCAGCACCCTGATAAACCTTTCTAGTAGAGGAACCATCATCTATAAACTTTCAGTAAACAAGGAAATAAACCACAGAGAATACAGTGTCAAGGCACATTTTTCTGCAGATGACTAGTTATAATTTAGGGAATCAAAAATTCCCTGCCTTACACAGATCCTCTCCATATCCTCTTGAATATGACATAGACAGGATCTGTGTAAGGAGTTTAACTCCCCACACCCCCCTGACTGTGATTGTACTTAATGATTTGCTCTTAAGAGTACAGTACAGAGGGGAAAGAGTAACTTTACAGTGGAGAAACGTGGCAAACATGCTTCAGCCAGGCAATCAAGATTAATGTAATTAAGGATGTCATGTTGATAATATATCCCCTGGCTGTGATGCGATGAGAATGACCTTCATGAGCTTTCTCTCAAAATCTCATGACCACAGTATAACTATGAAAATAACACCAGAAAACCAAAAGTGAGGGACATTCTACCAAAATACCAATATTCTGCAAAGCTGTCAAGGTCATTAAAAACAAAGAAAGTCTGAGAAACTGTCAAATCCAGAGGAGCCAAAGGAGACATGACAACTAAATGTAATTGGTATACTGTGGATTGGATCTTGAAACAGAAAAAGGACATTAGCAGAAAGCTAGTGAAATCCAAATAAAGTTTACTTTAGTTAACAGTAACCTATCCACGTTGGTTCCTTGGTTGTGACAAATGTTATCAGAGTGATGTAAGATGTTAACAATGGGGGAATCTGGGTACAGGATCATAGACACTCTCTGTACCACCTTTTCAACTTTGCTGAAAATCTTAAACTATTTTAAAATGAAAAGGTTATTTAAATTCTTAAAAAAGTCTCCCTATGCTATGGTAGTTGGGGGAAAAGATGCTACTTTGTGAATAACCTCCATACCTTACAAGCCAGAAAGGAGGTTTTGAGGCTACCAAAAATAAACTGAAAAACTCTAACCAGGACCCACCCCAAATACACATGAATTCCAACAGTCTGTTAAAACTATAATTTAGTAGTATACTACTCTCTATAATTCAAGAATTTCTTATTTTGACTCATGAATCTCTCTTAAACCCCCAAATCTTTTAGACAACTAAAAATATTGCCAGTAGTCAAACATTTACATGTTGTGACTTCAAGACAGCCAATCCT